GGGGGGGGGTGCTTTGCAGTTTTATCTCAAACAGCAAGAACCGCAGAATGTCCCATGTATTGAGCAGGTTTTTTTTTTTTTTGATTTTTAATTACTCAACAAGCACATTTTCCTATACTTCATGATTTAACAAACACTCTGAACAGATCTACCCCTTTGTTTTCTCAGAGTAATCTGAAATATTAGCCACTTTCTAAAAATACGTTATTAATGTTTATTTATTTACCTTAATTTAAAATGGTAAATCTGATTAAAATCCCACATCATAAATCATAAAGAATCTTTAATGGCATTATCTTTGTCTAAATTTAGTTTTGTTTTGAGGGAAGTTCCTCTATAATTGTGGATTTAGAAAGTTAAGACTCACATGTAAACAACTTACTAAAATTTATACAACATAATGATATAATTTTTAATGTAAGAACACCTCTGTTAAACAACAAAATTAATGTTGCTCAGGGGTTTCTAGTCACAAGAAGTAAACATAAATAGCTCCACAAATTAGACAAAAATTATGCTTTCTAATGAGGCTCTTTAGCTGTTTTTCTATTAGTGTGATGGATTGATTTCCATTCACTATGTTTAAAATATGTTATGTTAATATTTACTTATTGATAGAATGTTTTATCAATACAGATGAAACAAAAGAACAAACAATTTCTGATTCGGAGCTAAGGCATCCCTCAAGGATGTCTACTCGGTTCTTTCCTGTTTACTCTGTAGACATGACTGTCAAATTCAGCTCAAACTAACATTCAGTTTGCTGACAACACAACAGTAATGATGATGAGATGCCTCGCAGAGCTGAGATGAGCTGCTGTCTGTCTATTAATGTCAACAAACTAAGGAGCTGATGGTGGATTTAAAAAAAGGCAGATCATCAGCTCCTGTAAGTCAATGGATCCCCTGTGAGAGATTGAACAGCAAAATCTGAGGGAGACCACATCACTGGGGATCTTTTCTGGACTCTACATCACACACCTGGCCAAGAAAGCTCAGCAAAAGATGCTCTTCCTCGAGGGACTGAGAATGAGAATCCCCTCTTCATCCTCAGCACTTTTTAACAGGAGCAGTAATGAAAGCATCCTGAGCAGCTGCATCGGTTCATGGTACGGCAGCGCATGGTCAAAATGGGAGCCAGGGTCTCATTTCCCTTCCTAAAGTCTTATTTTCTTTATTTAGAGAAGTGAGAAAAACTTTTAGTAAGTGAAATATTCTTGCCACTCTGACTTTATACTGTTAAACCTCCTGCAAAGAGAAAGACAATAACATCAATGTGTCATTGTACMAGAATGTGCAATAATTTTGTTCCTTAGGCAGTGAGACTGCTAAACCTGCTGTAACACTTTTCAAGAATAAAAAGTAAAATGAACACATAGAGATATTTTTGTTTTTGTTAGCCATCTATTTCTTTAGGATGCAGATAATATGAGTTATTGAATTATGAAACAACCAGATGCTTTCAGATTGAATTTATGAGAGTCTTGGCATCAATTACATCAGCACAGCTGGGGAACTTTGTTTTTTTTTTCTTCCAGAGGGACATTTTGAATTAGTTAATGGGTTCGAAGGGCCACTGATTGAATTGAAACAYGGGCACAGTCTGCTACCTGAATTTATCACAAACATGACATCATCTGAGAAAAATACACAGACTATATATATACTGTGTATATA